TCCTCGCTTCGTTTAAAGGACCCTCGGGGATTGGAATCCAGTGGGATAACGGGGGTCTCGGCATGAGCCGGGGAGGGCAGGAGGAATCGCTGCTGAGACATCTCTCGGGGGTCCCCGCAGGGCGAAGCGGCACAGAGCTTTAATCCTGAATGTGCTGAGCCGCAGCGGGCGATTTTCTTAAACCATCTTTAGGTTAGTCCGTCTGCGCGAGTGTGACATACTTGTTTTCTTTTTTTTTCACCCCGGGGGCTCGAGAGGGTGGGAAGCAGATGTCCTTTTGCGGACTGTACCAGGGAAGTGAGTCGGCTTGCCATCTTATATCATGTTGCATGTTTCCCCCCCACACCCCCCTTTGCTTTTCTCTCCAGGTGGTTTCAGCAAGTTCCAGGCCGAGTTTGCCCTGCACTGCGAAACTAACCTAGACAGTTCCTGTAGCAGCAGCTCTCCTCCTTTGCCAGTCCTGGGCTTGGGAGGCCTCCGAATCAGCTCCGATTCCTCATCAGACATCGAGTCTGACATTGACAGAGACCCCAACAGTGCCACCGACTCCGATGGCAGCCCTCTCTCCAACAACCAGCCTTCCTTCCCAGTGGAGATTTTACCCTACCTCTACTTAGGCTGTGCCAAGGACTCCACTAATCTGGACGTTTTAGAAGAGTTTGGCATTAAATACATCTTGAATGTTACCCCCAACCTGCCTAATCTCTTTGAAAACGCCGGCGAGTTCAAGTACAAGCAGATCCCCATTTCTGACCACTGGAGCCAAAATCTGTCTCAGTTCTTTCCTGAGGCCATCTCCTTTATAGGTGAGACCCGGTTGTTTGCTAACAGCTATCTGTCAAGCGGCAGAACTCAATTTCTTTGGCAGAATTCGGGAGATTTCGGGCAAGAAGCCGTAGCAGCCTTTCTAGGGGATGCCCTGCTTTCTGCTTGTAAAGTCGGTTTAAGTTGAGGGTCGGGTGGGAGCTGTTTGAGGGGTGATTGAGGAGCCCTTGTGAATTCTAGGGAACGTTTGCAGGTTGCAAACGCATCTCTGGTTTGGCTGGCTGCGGGATTCCTGCCTGAGTCGTTTGTGTCGGAGCTGGAGACTGAGCAATGTGCAGGATGGGAGATCTTTTTAAATCCCTTCCTGATGGGGGTGGGGGGGAGGTAGATGAGTCCAGGGTTGGATGGCTTATTCGTCCTTGGTTTTTTTTCTCTTGAGGTTACTGAAGAGCAGTATAATAAAAAGAAACGATCTGGGAAGCTAAGTTTAGCTTTTAAATGCAAGTTATTCATAAGCGGTATCCCTGGCAAATGTATAGTCAGAGCTTTAATTAAATCTCGTGGTAATAATGATATACCTCTCGGGCTCGGTGCCTGAGTTAGCCAGCTCTTAGACATCCGTCAGCTTTGGAAACACGTCCCCTTGGGCTCAAGGATTTCTGCTTAAAATTTGCACTCTCTTTCGTTTCGGGGAGGACTATGATCACCCCATCGGGGTGCGGTGGAGTGGGCATCGCATTATCTGTTGGGAAGCTGTGCTGTAATCCGGTTGAATGATACCGGTAATAATGGAGAATGTAGGTAATCTGAGCCCAGCAGGAAGAAATGTGGGCTGGAAGCCACAAAGAAACTAATCTCCAGGCATTGTAACACATTTCCTATTACAAAGGAACCCATTTTCAACCAGTGTTGACATCCTGTTCCTCCTAATGGGCTGTCCCCTGTGACTTCCCTCATTCTTTTAAAATGCCTGAATACCTCCATTGTTAGCTGCACAACAGTTGGAGAATAATTTAATAGACCTTTGCAGTCTGCTGTTCTGTATAAAAGGCATTCAGTGACATATTGCAGGATTTCCATGCTGGGGCAAGGGGACTGTAAGAATTTTAGGCAGATCTCCAGGAGAAAGCGTGTCTTTCAAAACTGACTTAATTTTAAAACAGTGTCATGCTGTATACCCTGCTCTCTTTGTCTCATTCTTAGTTTTCTCAGCTCTTGGACACGGGTACATATACGTAGGGAGGTGGATTCTCCCCTTGTCCTGGTTTTAAGCTGGTGAAGTTAACTCTTGCATTGCAGTGCTGGCCGCTGGAATCAGAATTGTTCTTCCTTCCTATTTGATACAAATCTAACTTGCGTTGAGGGATCAGTTACCAAACCCCTGTCTTACGTGTCCTTCTCTGCTGCTTTGTGTCGGTACAGATGAAGCACGGGGGAAGAACTGTGGTGTCCTGGTGCATTGCTTAGCAGGGATCAGCCGCTCGGTCACAGTGACAGTGGCCTACCTCATGCAGAAGCTCAACTTGTCCATGAATGATGCCTACGATATTGTCAAGATGAAGAAGTCCAACATTTCTCCCAACTTCAACTTCATGGGTCAGCTGCTGGACTTTGAGCGGACTCTGGGGCTGAGCAGCCCCTGTGACAATCGAGTGCCCAACCAGCAGCTGTACTTCACCACCCCTTCCAACCAGAACGTCTTCCAGGTGGATTCCCTGCAGTCCACGTGAGCTCCCACCACCTCCCTTCTCCTGTCCATTTCATGGGATCACTCCTCAATGGTTTCTCTTTGGCAGTGATAAAGAAAACGTAGCTTTCTCTTTTCCTGGCCTCTGCTATCAAAAAGCAGCTGCCAGAGCAGGCTAGGAAAGGTTACACAGTGTGGAATCGGCTATTGCGAAGGGAGGAAACATGATGAGCTCTCTGGGCAGGACCGTGGTGACCAGGCGGCCCGTGGGCAGCGTGCTCATCCCTGCTTGTGCAGTGGCTTGTGTCCAAGGACTTCCAGGGGGGTAGGGTAAGGCTGGACAGGCTGAGCACATGCTCTCTAGAGACTGGGACTGTCCCGCTTCCCTCTCTGATTTTGGATCTATGACACACATCATCGTCTTCAGTGAAGACTGGTTATTTTTGTTTGTTTGTTTTAATTTAGAGGAGCCAAAGAAAGAGATTTCAGCTTAGTGTATTTGGAGTACTTGTTTGCCGGAAGCTCGGTAGTATTCTACTTGATCAATGTAAATATTTAATCCTAAATTGATTTGCAATTGTGTTGTTTTTGTGGGGGGTTTTTTTGCCTTTTTTTTTTTTTTTTTTAAATTCACATGTATTCAAGAAATCAATCCAAGGGACACCTGTGTTTTTGTTCTCTTCATAAGTTCTGCTTTATTTTTTTGTTGTTTTTTTATTGCAAAGAATATATTTGCAGCATGCTTGATTTTATTGTTCAAATGAAGCAAGCTTTCCATGAGGGAGAAATGGCAAAGGTGAGGAGTTTGCAAATCATGTTTTGTGAGCAAGTACAGTCTCTTCTTTCATATATCTTTTCCTTGTGGAGATTTTTTTTGTTTTGTTTTCCTCATGCTCTTGATGTAGTTTTCACATGATATATATTTTAAATTAAATTAATTTTTTTGCCTTACCTTTTGTAAATACATCGTCTGGGAGGAGGTTTGTCTTTGAATGCGGAAGACTTTTGATCACTTTTTAAAACTTTCAGATGTGCTAAACAGTGCATTACCTCTGTACAAATTCTTCAGGGAGCTTCACTTCAAATGCAATATTTTGAGTCTTCTTTTTTTTTCTTTTTTTGTATAAAACTGGAAGTATGTGCGAGCATTTGTACCTGTGTGTACGCAGAGTGAACCTGCACATGGTTGCCAATAAGGGAGAGTCTAATTCATGGTGTAAAAGTTTTAAGATGGAATTTATTATAAGAATGTAAAACCTTAAATTATTAATAAATAACTATTTTTGGCTATTGAGAACCTGACTGGCTTATTCCCCCTTTTCCCTCTGTGTGGGTGTGGTTAATTGCACATACACATATGGTTATGTTTAAAGGTAATGATTGCTTTTAATAGCTTTTGTACAGCCCCTAAGACAATAAAGCCTTGATTTTTCCCTTTGGTCCACTGGTGCCTAAATGAATAAACAGTGCATGTGCTAGATTCTTGTCTTGCTTTGGTGAAGGGAATCCTTTTGAAGGCCTTCAGATTAATTATAAAATATTCCAGCATCCATTTGCTGCCCCAGGGATGCACTTGACCCTGAGCCATAAGGATTTTTATTGTTGTTTTTATTTAGGAGAAAGGAGCTGCTGTTTTTTTGGGTTTGTTTACAAATTTTGCCTACTTTATTACAGATGCCAGGAGATGGGTTTCTGATCTCCTTATCTGTCTGGCAGGAACTCATTTCACAGATTTCCATCAACAGTCTAAAGTCTGTAAATGATTTTTTTTTTCCTTTTTTTTTTTTTGTTTTTGTTTTTGTTTTTGTTTTTTTCTGTTGCTCTTCAGCTATGTTGCAACTTCGCAGGTGAGGCAAGGAGGAAATGTCTCTATATACCCTTAGTCACCTCATTTCCTCTTTGGACCCTTCTAGTCCTATCTCTGAAGAAGGAAAAAGGGGGATTATGGGGATTGCAGAACTGCTGCTGCAACTCATTTTCATTAACATCCTGCCTGATGTGAACTGGCCCAAGGTAGGATGGTGCCAAAATCTGGGTGCAGTACCATGGTGATGGGCTGGGGCTGCCGGCTGGGGTTCTGCAGAACTCCTGGCAGCCAGAGCACATTCCAAGTAATTTTAGAAACTGCAAGTGTGTGAAATGAAAAGCAAACAAAACATGGGAAAAAAGTGAGTCAGTGTCTCATGCAGTAGTGGCCTAGATTGAGTGCATAAACTGTGAAAGTAGAAGTGGGTTGCAGTTAAACTTGGCTTGTGCTAATCCAGTTTTGAACGGTTTCCGCTCTTGGCATTCCCTGTGCAGCTCTGTTCAAAGTGGAGATTTGCAAGCAGCTCTAGCAATTTCCTGTCCAGCTGCAGCTCAAGTGACTCCCTTGGCTTTTTTTTTTTTTTTTTTTTTTTT